ATCCATCAGTTCTGCAATGGCTGCCCCATGTTTTACTGGGGTACCGGTAGCCGTAAGAAATCCTCTGGTCTTCCAAATTAGGCCAAAGTCATGTGCTACCCTCAGGGCATATCTTGAATCCGTGTAAATATTGACACGTAGACCTTCAGACAATTTGCAGGCCACAGTCAGGGCTGTTAGCTCGGCTTCTTGAGCAGACTTAGTTGGTTGTAGGGCAGCTGCCTGTAATACTTGACATCCTGTGGTGACTGCATACCCAGTGTGATATTGTCCCTGTTCATCAGCAAATCTTGACCCATCCACAAATAGTGTTTGGTCCGGGTTGAGTAATGCAGCTTCATAGACAATTGGTAGGTGTGTAGTTTCCATTTTCATTTGTTCAAAACAATCATGAGGAATATCTAGGTCACAGTCTGTAATGAGTGGGTCTTCACGGGCTTCTGTGTGGTACCTTGGGTACCCTGCCGTACAGTAATTAATAGTCTTTTTGTTGATCCCCGTAGAAGTCAGTTGTTCTTGGTTCATTTGACTCCAGGTTTTGGCCATCGGGCCTAGATCTTTCCATGAGGTATCGGGGGATCTGGTGAGAGATATGTGTGGGATAGCTGTTTCCCAATGATGATAGAGATGTGTCACATTCTCTGGAAGATGGACTAAGATGAGCATGGTACCTGTGGGGTCCCAGAATAAGTCAGTCAGGGTAATTTGAATTTCCTTGAGCTGGAATAGTTCTTCCTCATAGTTCATATCAGGGCCTGGTATGTCCTTAAACCATAAGGTACAGTGAAGTAGGGCCTCTGATTGTTCATCATGTGGGGGTGCAAGCGCAGGCAGCTGCAAATCTGCCCGAACCTCTGGGTTGATGTCCAGACTGTACCAGTAATGCACAACTCCCCCCTTGGGAAGTGGCAGAAGAGTGGCTGGGTTCAGGGAAAGACATCTCTGAAGTTTCACATTGTCAGGTAAAAGTAAGGAGGTTTGTAGACGGAGGTGACGTTGGGATGAAAGGTGCTTAGGTTGAACTTGTTGCAGGATTGCAGTAATGTCATGAGGTGGCCAAGAACAAAATCATTAGTCTTGTCCAGGAGGGCGCTGGCGGCAAACACAGCCCTGAGGCAGGAGGGACTACCCCTCGCAACAGGGTCAAGCATGCAGGAAAAATAGCCAATAGGTCGTTGTCTTGAGCCATGTTTCTGGGTAAGGACTCCGGAAGCATGTCCTGACTTTTCAGAGACAAACAGATTGAAATGAAGCTGGTAGTTGGGTAGGCCCAACGCGGGTGCAGAAGCAATAGCTCTTTTCAGATTGTGGAAACAGGTGATGGTTTCTTCAGTAAGGTGGAAGGGCTCACTCCTGAGGGCATCATAGAGTGGCTGCATGAGTTTTGATGCTTCTGGTATCCAGGACCTGCAGTATGTGATAAGACCCAAAAAGGCATGAAGAGTTTGATGTGTTGCAGGTAAAGGAAGTTGCAAAATAGCTTGTACACGTTGAGAAGTTAGATGTTTGGTGCCATGGGAAAGACAATGTCCCAAGAAGACCACAGAGGGCCGGCACCATTGTAGCTTGGATTTGGAAGCTTTGCAGCCGGCTGCAGCGAGGAAACATAGGAGATCTTCTGAGTCACGCTCTGCAATGAGCAAATCAGGAGCGCAGAGAAGGAGATCATCAACATATTGAAGCAGGACAACATCCGAGTGAGATTTCTGCCAGGGCTCCAGAACCAGAGACATGGCGTGAGCAAACTGTGTGGGGGAATTCTGGGCCCCCTGAGGCATGACAGTCCAGGTGTATTGTTGTCCTTCATGGGTGAAGGCGAAGAGAAAGCGTCAGGAAGGGTCAAGGGGCACACTGAAAAAGGCATTGGCTAGATCCACTACAGTGAATATTGTGGCAGTTGGTGGAACCTGGGACAAGAGGGTGTGTGGGTTTGGAACAATAGCAGTGTCTTTTATGGTTACTTCATTAACAGCACGGAGATCCTGCACCATTCGGTACTGGTCGGGTTGACCCTTAACAGTACTCTTTTTAACAGGGAAAAGTGGTGTGTTACATGGAGATGTGCACTTGATGAGGGCACCTTTGGCAAGCAGGCTTTCAACTTGTTTAGTGATGGCATCAGCTTGTGCTGGCTTCAGAGGATACTGTGGTCTACGGGGAGGCAGTGCTCCAGGCAGGAGCTTGACCAAGACTGGGGGCACATGCAAGCGCCCAATATCATCCGGGCCGGTGGACCAAAGTTCTTGGGGGATACGATCCAGAGCACTGGGGGTTTGTGAGACCCGTACATTCCCTGTATTGTCAGTTAAGTTCAACAAGATGGGGAGTGAACAAAGGACAGAGGTGTCTTTTTGTGATAAGGGAGTTGTTAACTGAACTTGACCATCAGCAGTAAAGGTAATAGATGCCTGGAGCCGAGAGAGAACATCAGCACCTAGGAGGTTAATGGGGCAAGTAGAGGAAACAACAAACCGGGAGAGAATGTGTGAACCTACATGCAGAAGTTTAGTAAGGGGGTTACTGCGGGGTGTACCATCCACCCCAACACAGGAGACATCGGTGTCAGATAAGAAGGAAGGATCTGGCAGGTCTTGTTCCCTGAGGATGCCATGGGCTGCACCTGTGTCAACTAGAAAGGTGGTTGGATGACCCTCCACGGGGAGAACTACAGTAGCCAAGGGCCCTCCCCCATCCCCCGCAGACACTGCAATGGCAGGGGTTGCTGACACAGGCTTGCCAGTTAACTATTGTAATAAATCTAGATGGGCCTGATCTGGTTCCTGGTACCGGCGGGAAGTGGAGGTACCAGATTAGATTGTATGGGAGGACGGGATGGACGATTAGCGTGGCGGGGCACTGACTGACTGTCTTGGAAATCATCTGTGTCATACCCTTCAGCGGAAGCCGAAGTGTATGCACAGGCTTCTGATGCAGGGAGCCGGGCTTGGGTGTATTCAGGAGGAGGAGGAGGAGGTGGAGGAAGCTGAGGCAACTGTGGATGGGGCAGGGCAGGGAGGTAACCAGTGGAGGGGAAACTGTAGCTGGTGACATGAGGACTCGGATACCGGGGAGTCTGTGGGCGGATTACTCTAGGGTGTGGGCAATCTCTTCTAAAGTGACCTGGCTGATTACAGTTAAAACAGGTCCGGATTGTCGTGATAGTCCGGTCCCGGGGAGAGGGAATTGATGTAGGCAGTGTCTGGGGTAACTGAGTGTATTGTTGGGGGAGTATCTGTCGTGGGGGGAGTATCTGTGGAACTTGGTTAGGACCGGCAATTGGTGTGGAGGTAGTATACATCAGAGGGCTAGTTCTTCGCTGTGTGGGTTGCAGAACAGATTCTAAACCCTTGGCTACCAGCAAAAGGGTGTCCAGTGGGATAATTCTGTATTCTGGGCGAGCTAAAATCAACCCCTTACGAATGTGTTCCCTAAGGCCTGCCACAAAAGCTGCAGATAACATCTGGGTGTGTGCTTTGTTATAGGTGCTGAACCCTAAATCTGAGAAAGTCTGAGTCAATCTAGAGTGATACTTTTCAACTGTCTCAAGTTTATCCTGAATTATGTCATTTATGCAAGTAGCTTGATCAGCTAATTTATCCTGTGCCCAAGCTCGGAGCTGTTCACAGAAAATTTCACCAGAACGAAAATCAGTATCAGAAGTGAGTGGAGCGTCGTTAAAGCTCCGTTCCATGATTGGCCAGTATGCATCTCCAGCCTTTATTTCACACAAACTAATCAGATCCCGCCAGGCAGCGGAGTATGTTTTCTGAATTTGGGCCATCCTGCGGAAAAAGGGCATGGGGTGTTTCTCAGGATCAGGGAGTGAAGTAACAAGGGTAGCAGCTTGGGAAGGGTTGAAGGTAACATACATGGGTGGTGCACCATCCGCTCCATGGTTAATCTGGGTATAACCCTGGGGGATAGAGTGCCGTTGGGGGAGCCTGTTCCCCCCTGGGCGAGGTGAATCCTGCTCTACCACAACGATCTCCTCGAGTGCCACCAGGCCACGGTGAAGAGTGGTCTCAGGGGTAGCTGTGGCGGGGGCGGCAGGGAGACCGGTGATGGGAGAGGTAGTTGGGTGGAAGCCCGAGGCCTGAGGGGAAGCACCCATTGCATAGGGTTGGTCCGATGTCACAGACACCTCGCACCCAACCACCATGATTGGATAACTAGGGCTGGCGGAAGAGGCATGAGGGATCAATGCCATGGATGGGGCTGCTATGGGGGCCGGCTGAGATGGGCGTGAGAGGTGGGTGTTTAGGACATGAGCGAGAGCAGAGATTGGATCGGAAGGCTCGGGGATGTTAGCGGGGGACAAAGAAGGGGTTGGAGGTTCCGGGGGAGGAGGTGGAGGAGGGGGTGGTAAATCAGTGGGAGGCGGTACAGGGATCGCGGAATTAACCAGGGAGGTAACAGCAGAGAAGAGGGCGGATATCGAGCTAGACAGGTCATTGGCCGTGGATGGGTCAGGGGTCACCGGGAGAGGGGTCGGAGGGATGGGAACAGGGGGCTGTGTCGTAACAACGTGGGTGGAGGGTTGGGATGGCAAACCAGTCGGGGGAGGAGGAGACAACGAGGTAGAGAGGGCCGGGGCTTCGGGAGGAGGTAAACCTGGAGAAGGGGTTGGAGGGGTGGTAACGGGGGGTTGGGTCAGGGCGGTGAGGGCAGAGATTAGGGACGGCAAATCGGCCGAGGGAGGAGGAGGCAACGAGGTAGAGGGGGCCGGGACTTCGGGAGGAGGAGGTAACACTGGAGAAGGGGTTGGAGGAGTGGTAACGGGGGGTTGGGTCAGGGCGGTGAGGGCAGAGATTAGGGACGGCAAATCAGCCGGGGGAGGAGGAGGCAACGAGGTAGAGGGGGCCGGGACATCGGAAGGAGGTAACACTGGAGAAGGGGTTGGAGGGGTGGGAACGGGGGGTTGGGAGAAGGAGGGTCTGTGGGGGGACAGGGGTCCGGAGGTATGGGGTCGGCGGAATGGACAAGGGTCGAGGGGGTAGAGTGTGAAACAGTCAAGGGGGGTGAGGGAGCGGGTGTTGCTAGGGATGGGGTACTCGAGGTGGAGAGGGAATGAGAGGAGGAGAAAACTCTGGTGGGTAAGGCGGGAGTAGTCAGGACGGGATCTTGGCGAGGATTTGGAGTAGGAGCAGGCACTGGGAGAGGTAGCGGAGGACATGGAGGTGGGGGAACTTCAACAGACGTAACGGGAGAATGGTTAATAGAGGGCGCTGGGTCATAGGGAGGTTGGTGCATGGGAGTGGGTGGGAACGAATTAAGTGGCACTGGATAGTAGTAAGCACCGTCTCCACCGAGTACGGGGCACAGGGGGGTGGGAGCTGAAGGCACACCCCCGGGGGGTGGGGTCTGTGCTGTGACGGGGGAAGCAGGGCAGGAATTTACTGTTGCGCTCTGGGCGCCATCATAGGGCGGTGGCCGCGGGACAATGGAAACAACATCATCATTGTTAACACTCCTATGGTATACATACACAATTTGCCCCTCAAAATCCAACTCTTCGTCGACCCACCCTTCCCGTTTCAGACCTCTAGCTACCCGATACCAAGCCTCTGCAACCTTTGTGAGTCCATTATCCAACAACAACCCTTCCTTGTCTATGAGTAACTTCCTCCAAAACTCAGGTTGTAATCTCCCACTGGGCGGCATCTGGAAGCCACACACCTTAGCAATCTTTCTAAGTTTCAACATTGCATCTTCCCCTGCCCTTTCTTTCACAATGTCACAAGCCAACAAGCCCTTAGCAGGTCTAGCATGTTCCTGCCCCATCTTGTATAATCGGAGTGAGCCACGTGCTAGGGACAGATAAATAGAGGAGATACAAGGGAGAAGGAAAAGGAATGTCTACAGTGCTCGACTGCCACGAGGACTTGAGTCCCGTGCGTCTTCCCCAAACGTAGACTAGTCACGGGGGTCCGCCCACCCGGAGTGGTGGTCACGGACGGGAGCGAGCGAGCGTGGGTGAATAACACAGCTCTGGGCAACAGGCACAGGAAAGATAAAGGACAAAGGAGAAAATGAACGTGGCTACACTAATGAGAAGACATTTGCAGAAGTCACAAACATATAAATGAGCGTAAACTCCGGAATCCAAAACTAACCACACTTTACACACACACACACCAAGGGTACTCACACTGTAACAACAATTAAACAAAAACCACAGAATGACAGAGAGTAAAATGGCCATGTACATGTTAACGCCACTGGTGCCAAATATTCAAAATGTAGCAATCCCCAGCCCTCACCCACCAGGCTGGTCCCGGTATTACACAAGTACCAATGAAACACTGCAATAATCAAACAAAATCCCAGCCCCACCGGCTGTAATGCGTTCCCTGCCCGCTAGGCAGTCAAGCTAACATAAAATGCCAGCCCCACCGGCTGTAATGCGTTCCCTGCCCGCTAGGCAGTCAAGCTAACATAAAATCCCAGCCCCACCGGCTGTAATGCGTTCCCTGCCCGCTAGGCAGTCAAGCTAACATATAAAATGCGTTCCCTGCCCGCTAGGCAGTCAAGCTAACATATAAAATGCGTTCCCTGCCCGCTAGGCAGTCAAGCTAACATATAAAATGCGTTCCCTGCCCGCTAGGCAGTCAAGCTAACATATAAAATGCGTTCCCTGCCCGCTAGGCAGTCAAGCTAACATATAAAATGCGTTCCCTGCCCGCTAGGCAGTCAAGCTAACATCTTTTAAAAGGGAGAAAAACACACGCACACCGGCCGACACACACACATTCGAACGAATACAGGAGGCAGATAGACAATTGACAGGTTCACTTTAAAAAGGCACACCGGATGAGCTAATTACCTGTCTCTAGTAGCCTTCTGGAAGCCGGAAGTGGACTCGGAGACAGACCGACACAAAACAGGAGAATAACACAGGCAACGGCTGTATTATGGAGGTGATCAGGCTCCGCTTGTCCCACTTTCCGGAGGTCCGCTCCGGTCCGTTGGTTCCGGCCCTCCGAACCGGCCCTCCATAGAGAAACTGCTATGTTTATAAATGGGTTAATCCTTCCTCCCATTCCTCTAGTGACTGTCTCATTGACAGCCGCTAGAGGCGTTTGCGTGAGAGCACGCAAGCGTCCATAGGAAAGCATTGTAAATGCTTTCCTATGAGACCGGCTGAATGCGCGCGCAGCTCTTGCCGCGCAGGCGCATTCAGCCGAAGGGTCGGAGAGGAGGAGGATTGGAGGAGGAGAGCTCCCCGCCCAGCGCTGGAAAAAGGTAAGTTTTATCCCCTTTCCTCTCCCCAGAGCCAGGCTGGAGGGGGACCCTGAAGGTGGGGGCATCCTCAGGGCACTATAGTGCCAGGAAAATGAGTATATTTTCCTGGCACTATAGTGGTCCTTTAATGACAATTCTGGGAGTTGCTACATACATTTTCAAAAAGCACATGACATGGGTGAAATACATTATTGATAGCAGTTTGCATATCTTTATAAAATACAAATTTTTCAGGGGGGATGACAGTGCCGCTTTAATAAAACCGTTTTTGAACTTTTTCTATCCTGTTTCCTCCAACTTCAAAAAACAAAAAGTAAAGCTGAAAACTCACCATTATTACAGCTCAAGGCCAGGTCCTCCCCTCTGCCTGTTCCTCCTTTATCGGGGTCACACACCCTCGTTTGATAAATTACACTGGGTGAGTATCAGGGCACTCCTGGCACCATAACCACTTCAGTGGGCTGTTTGGCTGTGATACTTGCAGTGTTCCTCTACATATATTTAAAATGTAATAGTAAAAGGACATTCACACTCACTTTTTACTGTCTTCAACTGCTGGCCCTTGACTGTCAGATGGTTGCTTTCTGGGCAGGTGGCTGGCCCTAGGTCCAGGGAGTTGTCCTGTGGTCTTTGTGTGTGCTACAAGCCTGGGCCCACATCTCAGCAGGTGCTGGATGTCTTGCTCCTAGGGGAGCCGGGCACTGGTTCTTGGTCTTGGAAGGTGTCAGATGACTGCTTCGTGCCAGCTGGCTGGAGTGGATGGGCCCTGGGCAGCTGGCTGAACTCTGGCCCCTGGCCTTGGCAGGTGCCAACGTGCTGTGTGGGTCTGTGTGTGTGTTGGCTGGCTTATTGGCTCGTGGGCTGGGTGGACTCTAGTCCCTGGCCTTGGCAGGTGCCAACTTGCTGGGTGGGTGGGTCTGTGTTTGTTGGCTGGCTTATTGGCTGCTGGACTGGTTGGACTCTGGCCCCTGGCCTTGGCAGGTGCCAACTTGCTGGGTTGGTAGGGGACATCTGACTGGCCCGAGTGATGGCTGGCTGGCTCCTAAGTTGGTGGCTGGAATCTTAGACAGCCTCTTGGTTTGCCAGCTGGCTCCTGAGCTGACCTTGCAGACCTGACTGTATGTGATGATACTAATCTCTGGCCTGTGCTAGAAGTGCTTTAGCCTGCTTGTGCCTTGTGAGCACTGAGCAGGAACTTGACTGGCTGTGGGTTGTGGGCTGAGGCAGCTTTCTGGCAGCAGGTTCTCCTCTTATGGCCCCCTTTGCCTTTCTTACTTTAAGCAAATGGAGGAGGTCACACAGGCAGCGCATTTGCCTTTTGTGGCACTTTCAGGGGGGTGGCAAAAAAAGCCTTTGTTTTGTTCTGGTGAGTATAATCATTAAATGCAGGCATTTTTATGCAAACACTGCTTTTTCAGAGAAAAGGCATTGTTTACATTGTCCCTAGGGACACCTCCAAGTGGCCACTCCTCAGATGGCCACGGGAGGTGCCTCCTGGCTCAGTGCTGCATAGTAGGCAGCACTGCCGTTTAGCGTCTCCACGCTCTGCATGGGGACGCTGAATTTTTCTTATAGAGATGCATTGTTTCAAAGCATCTCTATGAGAAGGTGCTGATTGGCCAAAATGGCATTTGGCCCCCACCCCCTTGCCGATTTTAGCCAAAATCTGCAATCCTGATGATGTCACTAAGGGGGCAGGGCCAACACAAGTGGACCCGCGCGGCGCTGGAAATAAGGTGAGTTTTAATTGCTTTTAAGGGGGCTAAGTGGGGGGCAAGCCACCTAAATGTTAACAAGATCCTCCTGTGTAGTTCTGGACTGATTCCTCACCGTTCTCATGATCATTGAAACTCCACAGGGTGAGATCTTGCATGGAGCACCAGATAGAGGGAGACCGACAGTTATTTTGTGTTTCTTCCATTTGCGAATAATTGCACCCACTGTTGTCACCTTCTCACAAGCTGCTTTGTGATTGTCTTGTAGCCCATTCCAGCCTTGTGTAGGTCTACAATCTTGTTCCTGACATCCTTGGAATCTGATTGATTGAATGCTTCTGTAGACAGGTATCTTTTATAGAGGTAAAGAGCTGAGATTAGGAGCACTCCCTTTAAGAGAATGCTCCTAATCTCAGCTCCTTACCTCTATAAAAGACACCTTGGAGCCAGAAATCTTGCTGACTGATAAGGGATCAAATACTTATTTCACTCATTGCCATGCAAATCAATTTATAACTTGTTTGACATGCATTTTTCTGGATTTTTTTGTTATTCTGCCTCTCACTGTTAAAATACACCTACCATTAAAATTATAGACTGATCATCTTTGTCAGTGGACAAACGTTTAAAAACAGCAGGGGATCAAATACTTTCCCCCCTCACTGTATGTATTTGTCAGTGAGAGTGTTATATGTGTTTGTCAGTGAGAGTGTATATGTGTTTGTCAGTGAGATTGTATATGTGTCTGTCAGTGTGTGTGTGTATCTGTCACTGAGAGTGTGTGTCTGTCAGAGTGTGTATGCGTGTCAGTTAGTGTGTGTATGCGTGCTTCAGCTTGTCTGTCAGTGTTTCTTTTATGCGTGTCTGTCAGCAGGGCCAGATTAACAGCCCAGTGGGCCTGGTACTGACAATTATGACGTGCCTAATTCAAGAATCATATCGACCAAAAACACTAAAACACTCCCAACCGTCATGTATCTGATGGAGATGGTGCTGGAGAGAAAGAAAACAGCAGCTATGAGAAACACATACCCTATGCTAATCTCCCTCTAATTTATGTTTTCATCTTTCAAGTAAATCCATAACCCCTAACAGCAGTGTCCAGTCAAGCAGGAAGTCAATGGGCACGGTAAAAGGGTGTGCCACTGACACAAATCACGTAACCTGCCAAAAGGGGCGAACATGCCCAAAAAGAGGACATGTCTGCCCAAAGAATTAGAAGGCCAGCCTGGCATGAATGCATGTCAGCTGTCTGCCAATCATGCAGCTGGCTAACTAAGGGCATACTATGCAGACAGCACCCTGAGCTTGGCATAAATGCATCTAATGATGCACTCGCTCAATGCTTTCTAAGGACTGTCCCCTAGCACTCGCTGGTCCACTAGTCTCCTTACCTTCTTACTAGCAGGCAGATGCTCCTGGTATATGGTCTGGGACAGAGAAAAGCTGTATGTAGTGAGTGTAGAAGAAAGGGAACATGCCACAGTGTTAGAGAGACCAAAGTCAGCGTTACCTTAAAGGATCACTATAGGGTCAGGAACACAAACATGAATTCCTGACCCTATAGTGTTAACACCACCATCTAACCCCCCTGGGCCCCTCATGCCTCCATAAATATAGTAAAAATCTTACTGTATTCAAGCCTGAAGCTGTAACTCTGCATGCTGTTAGACTCAGAAAAACAAGCAGTCTGCGGACATCATTAGAAGTGGTGGCCTGATCCAATCACAGTGCTTCCCCATAGGATTGGCTGAGACTGACAAAACGGCAGATCAGGGGCAGAGCCAGCAGGATTCAAACATAGCCCTGGCCAATCAGCATCTCCTCATAGAGATTAATTGAATAAATGAATCTCTATGAGGAAAGTTCAGTGTCTGCATGCAGAGGGAGGAGACACTGAATCTTTGGATGAATTTTAGGCAGCCATGACCCAGGAAGGATCTTTAACAGCCATCTAAGTAGTGGCCAGTGAAGTTATCACTAGGCTGTAATTTAAAGACTGCATTTTCCCTGTGTTTACAGCAAAAAGCCTGAAGGTAATGATTCTACTAACCAGAACAAATTCAATAAGCTGTAGTTGTTCTTGTGACTTTAGTGTCCCTTTAACTATATTCATTGTCAGCCAGTCCACACAAGTTTTGTTCCCATACATCCCTCTTAAGTTTCCATACTTGAAGAAGAGTATGTGAAAAGTAGTTAGGGTTGCCACCTTTCTTGGAAAAACATACTGGCCTTACTAATTTGCATAATTAAATATGTATGGGTGACATCACATGATGTAAATCACAAGGAGTGACATAAGAGAAAGTGCTGTAAAATCACCCAAAAACTTAGTTTGATTATGCTGTATAGATGGATTCCTCCCAGTGCCCCCATGTTTCCCAGCGCCCCCATGTGTCGATTACTCCAGGTCTCAGCGTTCCTATGTATCAGTGTCTCAGTGCCCCATGTCTCCCAGTGTCCCCTAGTGTCGTGTCCCCAGGTCTCCCAGCGACCCTATGTATCACAGTGTCCCTATGTATCACAGTGTCTCAATGTCTCCCTGTGTCCTCCAGTATTCCCATGTGTCTATGTCCCCATGTATGTGTCACTTGGACACTAGGAAGATGGGGAGATCTGGGGACACGGGGAGACCTAGGGACACAGAGACACCAGTGACACTGGGAAACTAGGGGACACTGGCTGGGACACATGGGGACACTGGGAAAATAGGGGACACTTGAAGACATGGGGTCACAGACACTAGAGACACTGGCTGGGGGACATGGGGACATTGAGACACGGGGGCACAGACACTAGAGACACTGGCTGGGGGACATGGGGACATTGAGACACGGGGGCACTGGGAGACATGGGGACACAGACACCAGGGCCACAGACATTAGGGACACTAGATTGGAGACATGGGGACATTGAGACACTTGAGGCACTGGGAGACATAGAGGCACTAGGAGACATGGGGACAGTGAGACACTGGGAGACTAGGGATCACTGGGAGAGTAGGTGTATGTCTCCTTGCAGCCTTTCCCCCCATCCCTTACTTCCCTGAGCTGTAGGCTGTCTCTGCAGGGTGGGAGTTGCTGTCTGGACTCTCTGTAGCTGCACCCCTGCAGATCATTGAGTAGATAGGCAGAGAGGGATATACTGGAACTTCCTATCCCTGCCTGTCTCCACACACAGCGACCCCTACTGGCCAGTGCTGGTATTGCATAGTAATCTCTTGTTTATACTGAGAAAAATACCAGCATTTGTATTGCCAGTATCACTGTAATATTGGCACCCTCAAATACTGGCTGTGCCAATAAAATAAAAGCCAGGTGGAGTCCCTAAGAGTAGTGTGTGAAAAAAAAAAAAGTAAAAAAAATTATTTTTTATTTTTTATTTTTTTAAATCAATGGGCCTATTCCATGGGCCTGGGCCTGGAGCTGCAGCTCCATCAGCCCCTATGTTAATCCGGCCCTGTCTGTCAGTGTATGTATGTGTGTTTCAGCGTGGCTGTCGGTGTGTGTATGCGTGTGTCAAGGAACCGTCATGGAATCCGTTGATGGATGCTCCTAGTGCTTCCCGAGGACTCCAAGCACTCCGCCAGACACCATAACCACTGCAGACCGCTGCAGCTTGGTTGGTGTCTCGCCGTCTCCACCCACTCTGGACCCAAGACCAGGGTCCAGCTTACAGTAGGTCGACCTCTCCGAATTCCAGAGACCATGAACAGGAACAAGCTCTTAACAGAGCTTAGTGATTATACCCTGGGGAGTAAAGTGATTATAGCAATCCCTAGAGTATAGTTCTCCAATCCCCCAAACATGAGTCGAAACTTCATGAAGGTACAAGGTGATCTGTTTAATCAGCACCCAGGGCTTTCTTTTATGCAGGTTTTACACACAAAGTACCGACCACAGGGTTTTGTGGAACAGCCAATCAAAACATTACAATACAGTCAAACACTCCCATTCATTCCAGCAAAATCCTCCCCTCTGCCTGTGATAGAATTACTGTACACAATGGGCTAATGTAATTATCACAGGCAGGAAAATACACAGTTTTACACAATATTCATAACTTTAAAAGTATACATCACAGTCACATAAAACTTACATATTCTGAACCAGCATACGCAGTATACAAACATATGTCAAAATCATACAAATTTGTCCAGTGGTTCAAAAGTTAGATGGAAGTCCTTTTTGACTGACTGCAAGCATGGCTTTCCTGCCCCAAACCAGTTCCACAGAGTTAGGCTGTGCAGCCAGTCTATCTTCTCCTCTATCCTGGAGATAATTGGCTTAACTGGGTGTGGTAAGCCAACCATCTCCAGGTACAGAGAATATCTCCATTCACAACAGCAGCAAAAATACACAAAAATACATAATTCCCATTACACTGAACAGAACCCCCACATTCAACCTATCCCCAGATAGCTTGGATCTGAGTGCTCAATATATCCGAACAGCGCTCAGATTCCACGAACAGAATAAAATCGCCATGGGGTTAAAGTTTAGCACGGGCTGATGAGAGGTTGAGGAGGGACAAAGCAACCAGTTTCATTTAAAGGGCCAGAACAATCTTTTAAACACCAATAAGTTCATAAGCCCCAATAATGTTTTTAAAGGGCCATATACCCCCGGGCTGTAGTCATAAGGTAGGAGGCTGGCAGTCAGGCTCCTCCAAAAGCCAGGGGCAAAGGGCAGTGGGTCACATAAACAGCCAGTGACAAAAGGCAGTTTGTCACAGCATGTCTGTCAATGAATGTGTTTGACACTGAGTGTATATGTGTTTTTTTTAGTGAGATGGTATATATTTTGTCAGTGAGTGTGTATGTGTTTTATCTCTCACTGAGAGTGTGTGTCTGTCAGTGTCTGTATGCATGTGTTAGTGTGTGTATATGTGTTTTAATGTGTCTGTCAGTGCACGTATGTGTGTCTGTCACTGAGAGTGTATGTCTGTCAGTGAATATGCACATCTGTCAGTATGTGTCTGTCAGTGAATGTGTGTGTCTGACACTGAGTGTATATATGTCTGTCAGTAAGTGTGTATCTATTTCTGTCAGTGAGTGTGTATGTGTCTGTCAGTGAATGTGTGTATCTGTCACTGAGAGTGTGTCTGTCAGTGTGTGCATGCATGTGTCAGTGTGTGTATGTGTGTCTGTCAGTGTATGTATGCGTGTTTTAGTGTGTCTGTCAGTGCGTGTTTGCGTGTCTGTCACTGAGAGTGTATGTCTGTCAGTGTATGTATGCGTGTTTTAGTGTGTCTGTCAGTGCGTGTTTGCGTGTCTGGCACTGAGAGTGTATGTCTGTCAGTGAATATGCATGTCTGTCAATGTGTGTCTGTCAGTGAGTGTGTATGTGTATTTGTCAATGTGGATCTGTCAGTGAGTATATGTGTGTCTCAGTGTGAGTGTGCATCTGTCAGTGAGTGTGTATCTATTTCTGTCAGTGAGTGTGTATGTGTCTGTCGGCGAATGCATGTCTGTAAGTTAGTGTATATGTGTGTCTGTAGGTGAATGTGAGTGAGAGTGAGTGTATCTATGAATGAGTGAGTGTGTATGTCTGAGAATGTGTATGTTTCAGTGAATGTGTGTGTTGGTTAAACAGTGTGTGTGACAATGACTGTGTATCTGTAAGTGAGTGTATGTCAGTGAATGCAACAGTGAGGGCGCGTGTCTGTCAGGAAGTGAAATTTGGAGGGGGGGGGGGGGCGGCCAGGTTTTGTCATGCCTAGGGCAGTACAAAACCAGAATACACCACTGCACACAAGGTTATGATGGTGATGTCATAGCCCCACCCACTCTCCTCAGATTGTCCCAGCTGTATATATCTGGGGAGATTTAGCAAGATATTCTAAAATGCTTCCTTTATTCTTGTTCCATAATCTGTTTGTATTTACTAATAATTCTAAAGATGATCTAAAATGTGTCATCTTTTTCACACCATTATCCACTTCAGAAAAAGTAATGTCAAGATTCATAAAAAGTGGTGAGAAGCTTTATAAATGCATTGCACATAGCCCAGACCCATGCTTACCAGAAGCATATGTTGCTGTACCTTGCCTACAATCCAGGTAGCAGAATCAGAAGTATGAAAAGATCTCCCTGCGCAGCCCTTTAAAAATGACTGCCTGGTGATCCATGGTCCCCACATTTCCGGCTCTCTGTGAGGGAATCAGAACACTGGTGCCGGGATTCCCAGCCTGTGCTATGACTGCTTAATAGAATGCAAGACCTCAAGGTCCGCGGCTGCACTGGAAGTCTACTGGACCACCATAGAATCCACTGGACCACCAAGGAATGTATTTGTCCAGAAGCAGGACAAGACAAATGCAATTATATATATATATATAGGCAATTGCAGTGTGGGGAAACTGTTTTAACACAGCCTCTTCACATACTATCACTCTCCCATACACACCTAGCCCCCATATATTGTCACCCCCTCAGCCATCCTGCCACAGTCACTGATGCCCCCCTTGTTACACACACCACCCCTCACCCGGTCATATTCAATCCCCTTCAATATCACTCATCATCAAAACCCTCTCACACTGACCCCCAACCCTGTCACACTCACCATCCCTCTTCACACTAACCAACCTGCCACACTAGCCCTGCAACACTCATCTTCTCACCCTGCCATACATACATAATGCAAAGAGAGGGCCCCTAGTTAGCACCCTACCTAGGGCCCTGGGCAACCTTAAGAGTAGTGGCTGGGTTTGTTGGGTTTGTTTTAGGCAAGCAGTAGGACGGTCTTGGTATGTGTGGGGAGCTGGTAACAGGAGGTTTACACCTTGGGTAGGAGCAGACCTCAGTAATGGCTTCCTTGTGATCCGGCGCCCTCTAGTGAGTCAGAGTCCACTGCCAAATGTTCCCAGTTTGCACTCTGTCGCACTGTGTGTTGAACTGTGAGGGATTGATTACTGAGGTCAGTATCCGCTGCTGGTGCAAACCTCATTCTCCACTGCTGGCCTACTAGTGATTTAGGAACCCTGATAGTCTACCAAGTGGAGTTAACCCCTACTGGACTACTAGGGAGTATGACCATGATTGGACCACAATGGATCATACCCCATTTCCTTGAGGAAAGCCAAGCAGAAGGTAAGGATACCAGTAGAATAATATTCACTGGAGACTGTTGCTGCTGCCGGCCCGCCGCGTGACACGGCGGCGGCCGACCGGCACAGCCTCGCCGACAGCACGAGCTTACCTGCTCGTCGGCGAGCCGACAGCTGCATCCCCGCATCCTCCGGCTGTCGCGCCCGGATCCAAAATGGCGCTGACCGCGTGGTCGCGCCTAATCATAGCTCCGCCCCAGAAGTTTATACTGACGTGCCCGCGTTTTGGGGTCAGAGGTCGCCCTCTGACCAATCAGACCTTAAAGAGGGATATTTAAATCCCTAGCTCACCCCAGTCCCTTGCCCTGTCATGGTTTCTTGTTCCTGGTTTCCTGAGAGTGCTTTATCTTTGTGAATCTGATTTCCTGGTATCCTGATCTTGGCTTTTCCCTGGTTATTCTGAATTCTGGTTTCCCTGACTTGGCTTGTGTAAACGGTATTGTGTATTTTCTGGCTTCCTTGACCTCGACTTTCCCTTTGACCATTCTCTGTCTCTAGCGTATTAGTCCGGTCATTCTAAGGTCCGGTTTACACTCTGTCCTTTTATTTTCCTTTTCTTGCCTATGTATATGTTTACGTAGTTTCTGCGTGCTGGACCACACTAGTAGTCGTGACAGAGACTTAGTGTGTTTTTTAATTACAGTTGCCGGAGAGGAATCAATTGGGAGCTATTTACAGTTTAATTGATACTCTTTCGTGAAGAAGTGAGTTTTTAATGATTTTTTGAAGGAATGAAGACTGAGTGAAGATCTAACGGAGAAGGGAAGGGAATTCCACTGGAACGGTGCAGCCCTAGAGAAGTCTTGGAGGCAAGAATCAGAGGTGGGAGTACCGACAGAGGATAGACGTAGGTCTTAAGTAGAGCGTAGGGGCCTAGACGGCCTAATATGTGTATTAGGAAGGATAGATAAGGGGGAGCAGCATTATGTAGAGATTTATAGGCAACTACAAGAATTTTAAATTGAGCCCTATATCTCAAGGGAAGCCAATGCAGGGACTGACAGGCGTGGGT